CGGCGGTCAGCTCGCAGGTATAATAAAAGAACGCAAAAGATCAGGAATTCCTCCTACTGTTTGTTCTCTGGCTCAGGAGGAATGTGGAATTATTACAGAAATTTTCTCTGAGAGCAAGTCACCCACAGATAATAATTCTTTAGAACAAGACTTTTGTTTTGTTTTAATTCCAAGTCCACAAGTCATGCTTTTATGTGGTCCCATCCAACAACAGTGCACTACACAATAGGTTACTGTTTAAAAAAAAAATTTTTTTTTTGAGCATTACAGTATAGTGCTTCACAAAACCCTGCCTCAGTGACTGCCACCTCTACCCACCCAGGCATCCTACTGATCTGAGTCACGCCAGATGTGCCTCACCTGGTGGTGCCAGCACACCTCCCCTCCCCACACACATCACCTCTAGCTCGCCCCAGGCTGTCAAGCTTAAATCAAGGACCACAGCAATCCAGCAGGAGAATGAACAAAGACCTGCATGAGTTATGGACCGGTAGAGAAAAGGCAACTAGAAAGCCAACAGCCGTGCTAAAGAGCCCAAGCACTACCCAGCTTCAGCTGACAGACAAAGAAGAAATTCAGGGTCGGCGTTATCTAATATTATGATTCTTCAAAAGCATCCAGCATTCTGCACTTTTATGGGAAAGATACTAATTCTTGAAACAAAGTAAGGGTAACCTGCAAAGTAAACGTAACCTGCTGGACAACTTCAACGTGTGACCCCGAGCTTTACAATCCCCATGCCACTCCATCCCAGCCACCTCGATTAAGACCTTAACATTTCTTACATAGTTTTAAAATCGGGGCCTTCTAAAGGTCTCCAGATCAATCCTACCTCCATTGCCATCTCCCCATCTACTGGCTGTCAGGATGAGCTTTCAAAATTCAAATCAGATCCTGTTTAAAAGCCCTGCCAGGCATGGTGGTGCATGGTGGTGCATGCCCCACACTCAGGAGGCTGAGGCAGGAGGAATACTGTAAGTTCAAGGCCAGCCTAGACTACACAGACTTCAAGGCCAGCTTGAACTACAGAGCAAGACCCTGTCTCAAAAAAAAAGGCTTCAGTAGCCCCCTGCAGACCTTTTGCATTACAAAGTACCAAAAAACTGCATAAGACATTTAACAAGCAGATAAGAGCAAGCAATGCAATATAAACCACCCAAAGAGTGCATAGGACAGTGACGGCTAACCTTTTAAGCTTTGGACAACAAACAGCTGCCTGCAGCGTGCACAGAATAGGTCTGTCACCACTAACGTAGGAACTGACTAACCATTTCCCCGAAGTGATTCAGGCACCAACGGTCCTGAGACCATAGGAACACTGCTCTACAGGGCAAAATCCAGGGCCTCTGCCAGGTGCCTCCTCCCTCCAGTGTCCTGCCTTGTGACTCTACAATTACACATGAACACCTCATCTAGTTTCTTGTGGCTCCCAGCAAATGCTCTCTCTGCCCTCCATCGCCTTGTACTCCGTGGCTCTCTTCTGTGATGCCTTTTCTCCTCTTCAGCTGGTAACACACAGCCTTGTCTTTCTACACCGAGCTCCACCTTCACCTCCAGCCTATGAAGCCTTTCTCTGCTCTCAGCTCCCCGCCAAGCCCAGCTCCCCGGAAGCTGCCTCCTCTCTCCACCATACCCAGCACTTAAATCCTTCTGCTGTTTACACGTCCATATGCCACCCAACTGGGTTCTCTGAAGTCAGGAGTTCCAGCCGAGCTTTGCTTTGCAGCACCAGTGTTGTGCCCAGCAGAGGCCCCTTCACAAATGCTTGCCTAATAAACACAATCAAACTGTATGAACCGGTTAAGGTGAAAGGCCAGGCTGGACTCTGGCTTTTTAGCAGGCTCATCACGATGCAAACAGTCTCTTTACAACATCTTATGGTAATACAATTAAATTCACAATTATCAAGATTGCTGTAATCAGATTGTCACTGATGATCACACTGACTACCAAAATAGCAGAAACCAATACATCCTGACAGCATAGTCTCTCTCTTTTTTAGTTTAGTTTATTAGTATATGAGTGTGGTACATAATGTTTACAATCCTTGTGGGAAGTTAATACGTGTATATGACACATCTTAATTCCTTTTTTCATTCCTTGTCCCTTCCTTTCCTCCTTCTTCTCTTCATCTCTTGACCCCTTCCCCTTTGAGAACAATCTTAGTACTATTACCTATTATTTCATTCTTTATTCTTGAAACAGTATCTCACACAGTACTTCTCTGAAGCAAAATGATACAATTTGAAACTGCCGCTACTCTATTAATTAAAACGTACCTTCCTTGGGTGGCAACCCTCAAGAGCAGTTTTGCCCTTAAGTGGGAAAATCCCTCATCTGCAAAAACCATACAACAGGGTCGGTAGAAGAGAAAGGTAACGGTCCTCAAAAGGCAGAATCATCCCTCAATGCAACTGTGTGAAGCCATACTGTTTAGCAACAGAATAACTGCAACAGTAGTAACATCTTCCTGTTCAAAATGCAAAAGTATCCTCCCAATATCCTTTCACCAGGTTTCCCAAATGGCTCATGTTCTTTCCCATTTCCATTGCTTCAACATTTCCTGAGCACCTACTGTTCACGGTGCTGTGCTGGATCTTGGTCATACAGAACAAGGCAGCCACTGGCCCTGCTTCAAGAGAGCTCATGTCCTAACAAAGTAGCCAAAGCAGCCATTCACTAAATTATTAAAACAGCTGTTTAACAGAATGGTGTTAGGTACCACAATAGAGAATACCAGCGTTAAGAAAGTATGTAACACACAATCTATCCAGTGCTTTCTTCTACACTGAAACCCAGCTGTCTGTTGGTCCTGACTGCAGAACCCTAATGACATCTCTACCTGTGCTCCCCTTTCAGCAGCTCTTCTGTGAAACTGCCAGGTTTCCAACTGCAGCTCTCACATGTACCTCTGGGGAAGATAAAAGAAATTCAACTGGTTCAAAAGTAATTTTTCCACCAGCTGCTTTTACAGTATCAATTTTTTCTCTGCACCTCTTTGCTGGATTATAAAGGGGCACACCAGGGAATAAAAATTGCTTTTGAGTGTTTTAACTCTCTATGTTTTAACCATCTATGAAGGGAACCATCTATGAAGGGAAAAGGTTGTTTTAATTCAATAAGCTTATAAAGCCCCTTACTGTCTCTGCAGATGGCACAATGGAAATGCAACAACAGGAAGATGCAAGGACAGAAAAGTCTCTGTGTGACAGTCACATTCCAGCAAAACTAAAACTAACCACACACATTTTTTTTTTGACACCCTGGGTTCATATTTTTAATATGAATGCTGTAATGAGTAAAGAACCATCTAATGTAAGAATATTTAGGTTATAAATTTGTTCCTTTTTTCTTCCCCAAAGCCTCACTGTAACTAAAAAATAACATCAACTATAGTTTAGTGAACATTGGACATTTGCTAAATTGACCTTTGTTTTCCTCGATGACAGGAAATCTGTCAGAGATAGGAACTGAGTCAGAGCAGAGAAGCAGAGAAGATATGGGGACAGAAAAATCCATTGACATTTCTGGCACACCAGGATACCTATCCAGATTGAAAATATCAATCTAGAGAAGACTGCTTATAAGAAAATGGAGAGATCCCATTAGACAATGTTACAAATAAACTATTCTGTTAGCATTTACTCTAAAAGCCAGATCCTAGTAAAGAAGAAAATATTTTACATGTCAATATTTACAGTGTTGAGCAGATAACAAAAAGGGGACATAACTTAGGCAAAGAAGGAGGTAACAGCTTTCTAAAATCAAAGCTGTAAAGTCCTGGCCTCAGTTCCCAAGAAGGCACTGGAACCTCTTTCCACCTATTGTTCAAAATGGTATGGCACAACTTTGTCTGAAAGTAAAGGAACGTCCTAAGACCTCTTACTACTTTTTACCAAATCCTTTATGATTCGTCCAGTTAGTCACTCATTCCAACAAATGTTCACTGGATGCCTAGTACTGACAGGGGCACAGTGTTCAAGCCGTGATGGTCCATTAGGCAGGTACCATTGCTTGGGCATTACACTCAACGGAAAGACACACTAAGAATAATTCCGTGAACGAACACAACACTCGGAAGGAGAAAGGGGATACTGTACTTAGGGATGGCTTCTCTGAAAAGTTTAAGCCAAGATGGGAGGATCCACAGGGAACAAAGATGAAAGGCTGACATCCCTCCATCAGGCCTGGGCGACTGGATAGTCACTTACTGGTAAGTGAACAGTGCAGGGAAATCAAAATGTGACAGAAGCTTAACCACCAGCATTTACTGGGGTTCATTACGCTGTTAGGCGGCTCTCAAAATCCTTATAATCACTCTTCACGGTAGAATCTCTTCTTCCCAGTTTACCAGCATAAAAGAGACCGAGCGGCGTTAAAAAAAGACCTGCCCAGGGCCAAATAAAGAAACTTGAGTTTGACATCAGCTTCACATGTACCTGAAAGCCCACGCTCCTTCCATTACACAGTTCCTTCCAGTGCACATTTATTTCATCTGACAGCCCTAACGCCAAGTGCTACCGCCGAGGAAGCCTCTTTTCTGGGAAAGAGGTGGACCGCAGCCCCAGTTAAGGCCTGGGTAAGTCACTCCCCTCCACACCCTTTAAGGCAGACGATCAGCCTCCCTCTGAAGTTGTATGCAAGAAGGACAGGTAGAAAGTGCATTCAAACGAAGACTACTACTAAAATATCACAGAACAGAACTGCATCCTTTTAGGGGGCTAAAAAGCAATCATAAATAATAATCGGTAAAGAGAGAAGGGAATTCCCTTGCTCCACTATCCTCGAGAGCTCTCCCACCCCGGAGCGTGCCACCGGGGGGCGCCGGCCTAGGATGCTCTCACGCTCCCCGAGCCGAGCTCCCAGAACTCAGGGGACCCCGCAGACAAGCCCGCCGGCGCGCACCGATCCACGCGGCAGCACAAGGTGACACGGTCCGCGCCGCCCCTCAGCCTGGGCGCGGCCGGGGCACCGAGGGAGCGGGGCGTCCGCCGCGCTACCTTGTATTTATCGAAGCCAGCCAGCTGCTCCGGGCTCACGTATTCGTAGCCAGCCATGACGACCCGAAAACCGAGCGCCCACTCGGTAGGGACCGTCCGGGACGAAGCGGTAAAGCACGAGAGGAACACGATGTGACCAAAGCTGGGTAAGACCCGGCTGGCACTGAAGATATGAGCCGCGCTCCACCCACCGCGCACGCGTAGCCCGGGCCACTTCCGCCGCCTCCGTGCGCAAGCGCAGCCCCGGTTTCTCCCCTCCCATCGGGGGCGGGGCGTCCGGTTCGCCCCGCCCGTCGATGACGTTAAAGTCCAATCGGCGTGGAACAGGCAACACTAAGTCCCGCCTCTCAGATCATCTCGTCGCTTCATTTGCTATCGTCAATCTTTGCGTAAGGCAAGGCAGGAGGCAAGATGAAAGGTCAATTTCCCAGCGGGCCTTACTCGTATACCAGGGTAAGGCGGGCGCTCCTGGGGTGTGTGTACCTGAGTGGAGTTCTAGGTTACCTTTTTAGTCCAGCAAGTCGGGAGAGCGCACGCGGCCAGATCAGATAAGAGGGCGTAATTTGCTCGTTGCTGTGAAAGCAGAAGAGCAAGGGAAGGCCTGGGCTGCAGCCCTAGTGGAGCTCCTGATGCAGTGCACCGCAAGAGGTGGGAAGTTAGGACATGTGGCTTTCCGGAGAGAAGGCTGAGCTACGGCCTAGGCTAATGTGCAGGCCCTAAAGAGATTTGACCGGCGTGAGAAAGGACCGCGGAGCAAGCCTCTCAGGTCAGCATTGCTCCTGAACCTTAGGCAACCTGCTCACACCCTTCACTCATGCCGTTTCAAATTCAGATTGTTAATCCTCACCAGATAAAAGCAGTAGTCTGTCAGCCTGGACGGGTCCTTACATGCATACCCAAGTGTTTACACCTCAGTGGTCCCGGTTAATGGTGGAAAGAGCACCAGGTCAATAGCAAGTATGTATCTAATCATAGTAAAATTTAGTAATAGTTGCTACTTTCTATTGAGTGCCTCATATGCGGAGAAGTTTGCATACATTCTCACTAACACCTTAACAACACTGAAAGTATTTTTCTCACTTCTCAGAGGAGGGAATTAAAATTCAGATTACATGGGCTGGAGGTGTAGTTCGGTGGTGGAGTGCTTGCATAGCAGGATCTGATTTGGATCCCCAGTCGGGAGGGGGAGTATCAGGATTGCATAACCTACCCAAAGTCAGTTAGTTACACAGTTTGGAAATGGTCAACCCAAATGAAACGCGGTCTGCGTAAAGGCCACTGCACCAGGGAAGCACTCAATCTCCCTGGGTCCCTGGGGAGGAAGGGTAGTACTTGTTTTGTCTTTTTCATTCGTCTAACAGATACTCACTGGGGGACAAGGATATGCCAACACTATTATTTCATCAGCGTCTTACCTCTCCTAAAGTGTAAGATTATCATAAAGTAGGTAAAGGATGTAAAGCATCTGAGTACAAGGTAGATAATTTATAAACGTCAGTGTTGTTTGCCACCCTTGAGTATTTGTATCTTATACATCTTAATCTTAATCTTCCTCATGTCCTGCAGCTTGCAAGTTATACATGGTCATGCTATTGTATTGAATATGAATGAGCAAACATCTCAGATATGCTGTAGAGTGCTGATGTTGAAACAAATATGAGAAATTAATGCTTTTACAAAGGAAATTGCACCTAAGGGTGATGGAACACAGTGTAATCCCAGCACTAGGAGGCTGAGTCAGGCCAGTCACTGCAAGTTTGAGGCCAACCTGAACAAAATGATTTAATACCAGCCCTGTGCTTGCCCATCTGAGATAGAAACTTATAAAACAAATTTTGGTTAGTTGTGGAAAGCCATCAGCTGTGACATGAGTACATGCTATTTTAGAAACTGTGCTTGTTATTCATTTGAGATACAGAAAAACTAAAAGTAACATTTTTTATTTTTAAACTTTTCTCCCCCAGAGCAAGACATGGTTGCACACATATGTAATCCCAGCTGTTTGGGAGGCTCAGGGGAGAGCACTAGTTGAGCTCAGGAATTCCTGGGCAACATAATAAGATCCTATTTCAAAGAGAGAAGGGGAAAGGAGAAAAGGAAGAAGGAAAGGAAAAAAGAAAGCAGAGAGAGAAAGAATTCCCACCCACTTTTTAAAAGAGCAACTTTTAATTTTGTGAATATATCCATAATTTTCTGCCTGTCGTCTGCAAAAGGTTGTAATAAGATTGAATCAGTACAAATCCATCTTAGAATTTTTGTGTTGAAATACAACACAGATCCTTGTTTATATGTTGGCATCTTTTATGTGGTGGCCACATGATCTTGGGCAACTTATTTCATGTAGCCCAGTTCTCAGGGGTGTTTGGTCTTGTTTTTGTTTCCTTTGTTTTGTTTTTCTGTTGTTGTTGTTGTTGTTGTTGTTTTGAGATAGAGTCTTGCTTTGTAGGTCAGGCTGCCCTGGAACTCACTTTGTAGTCCAGGCTGGCCTTGAACTCCCAGCTATTCTCCTGTCCCAGCCTTCTGGGCACTGCTATTATAGGCTTGTGCTACCACCCTTGGCCCCCAGTTCTCTTTTGAAGGGAGGGCATCAGATTAAATCTATTCATCTCTGAATTCAATGAAATAATATATTGTTTAACTTCTCTGAAAGTAAATCAGTCCACCTCTGAAAAGATAATTCTGGTCCTGCTATGGCAGCTATAATACAGAGCATGGGAAATGCTAGTATTTCAACCTTAAGGAGTATAGGATATTATTTCCCCAGAATTCTATAAATTCTCACCTAGAAAAAAATATTTTCAAACAAATTGCTTTTAGAACTGAATCATGGTTCTGCCCACTCATCTCTGAATTTGATTCCAAGATGCTTTTATTCCAGAGGCAGCCCAGAGCGGCCAGCAGCTGCCTTCGGGTGGCCTGGCTATTTCCGTTTACACCCAGCGTGGCCTCTTCACGGTGTACCGCAATGGGACATAATTTATTGTTGCATATTTCACCTGTCTGCCTCCTCATCCACTGAAGTTTATCCCAATCAGGAACATGCATTTCCTAAGCATGGTAACCATAAACCGAGTGTGGTGGTGCACACCTGTAATCCCAGGGCCCAAGGGGCGGAGGCAGGAGGATCACCATGAGTTCGAGGCCAGCCTGGGCTACATAGTGAGTTCAAGGCCACCGTGAATTGCAGAGTGAGAACTTGTCTTAGAAAACAAAAACAAAAATAAATAAATATGGATTGGTAACCATAGAAAATACAAAGTCACACTAAAACAAAAATTCTCCTCTGGCTCCAAGGCAAGGTGGCGTGGCAGACAGGCATCCAAAGGAGAAGCAGTTCGTGGAGAAAGTAGCAAGGGACACCACAGCTCTTTCCAGCCCTTAGATCGTATCCAGGCTACTTAGGGCAGGCAGCACTCAGCCCTTCATCCTAGTGCCCTTGAGCCTAGCATTGCACCCTGAATGTCTCAGCATCACACACTGTAGATCCAGCCACCTCTGAAACAACCCCACTGTGACTGCTTGAGGCCGTGGGGGAACATTTTGTATCCCTTAAATGTATATAATTCCTACTAGTCATTCCTCAATTGAACTGAGGGCTAAGGGAAGAGAAGCTATAAAGTCTTTAAAGACTTCAGCTCAGAAATCACAGTTTTGCTTCTGTCTTATTTTACCAGACAAAGCAAATCACAAAGCCAGCCCAGTGGAGGGGCAATAGGTTCTACCTCTTACTAGACAGAATAGCCAAGTCACATAACAACAGGCTGGGAACAACTAACCACATCAGATTAATCCCACTGCCAAAAGTCACAACAGGAAGGTTTCATGAAGAGATTTGGGCTGGGCATGTTGGCACACACAAGCCCTCAAAAAACAAAGAAAAGGCTGGAGATGTAGTTCAGTCGAAGTCACTGGGGGTGGGGGAGAGGGAGAGATTTGGACAGCACTGAATTACATTTGAATTGCTTATAATCTGATAAAGAATGGTAAAAATAGTAAAACACTGAAAACTAAAACATTTTACATTGCCTCTTGTTACTTCTTTGAAATATCTTGCTCCTTTTTTTCTTTTTTTAACACCAAGTTCATTTATTAGAAAAGAAGAAAGTGATGAAATATCCTCGTATCTTTCCTTGAGAAATTAAAAACAAGAGAGAGAATAAAACCAAAAACGAATAGAAGAAAATATTGAAGATCAGAACACAACAATCCCTTATCAAACTGCCAATATCGTTTTTCATATAGATTAACATTTTGATTATTACATTTCTGTAAAAATAGAAAAGATTCAGAATAATCTAAACAACTTTGATAAAGGAACAAAATTAAAGCCCCAGCCCTCCTCAATCCCAGACTTATCACACAGTTACACCAATCATGACAAAATGGCATGAATATCAAGATAGACAAACCACCAAAGGACCAATATTATCTTTTGCTCTTGATTGCCTCTCCCCTACAATGTTCATGGTAGCATTATACATAACTACCAAACCATTACCCTTGTGCACATTTCTTTCTTTGATACCCCCCACAGCGTATACGTGCACGCGCGCGTGCACACACACACACACACACACACAACCTCCCAGAAGTAAGTCTCCCAACAGCTCTGGCGACACATACAAAACTTCATTTCCCCATGCCCGATCAGTTCCCTCTCCACCTTCCAGATCCATTTTTACTTTCTTCCAACGCATCTTTTTGTGCCCCAGTTCTCAGCCTACTTCTAATTCTCTCCACTAGAATTGATTCTATCTGCCTATGTTTCTTTCTTTGTACTCACATGTTATGAGAGTGTCTTCTTATCTGTCGTACTGTAATGTCTGTTACTTGAAGCTAAGCACCACACCTGTATACCCCCGAACCTAGCATGGTGCCTGGTACTCAACCCTCAGTATGAACAATGAGAGAATAAAGAAAGATACATTGCTGACATCAACAAGTGCTATAAAACTGTCAATAGTCATTGACCCACTTTTATAGAACATACTGTAGGAAATAATTTGAAAGAAAAAAGTCTTTGTTGCAAAGATTTATAAAGAGTCTGTGAAACTCTGAATTACAGTACATCTCTTATATGCTAATGTGAGAGCCGGAGGCTGAGAAGCCCTACATAGTATAAGGCTGGTCACCAGAAAGGCCATGGAAGGATACAAGGGTTGGTTAGGACTTTAGGCCTACCCCGTTCCCCAGGCTTCAGGAAGGGGACA